GTCCCGTAGATACAGCGATAAATCTTTCATCCCTTAACCGAGGCTCAGAGTTATTGCTTGAATCTTTAGACAGTATCACTGAATGCAGTACGCTTACAGTATTAAGAGAAATAAATGCTTTTAGTGCCCTTAGGACAGGATTTATGAGCAAGGTGTAATGTTTTATATGTAAATAAGGAATGTTAAATGGTTAGTGAAGATACGAGAATGGCAGGGAATAGCCATCAAATAATTGCTTTACGCCGCATATAGGCAGGAGGTAATAATCTTAATGTCCTCTCAGATTCTTGCTTACACAATGTATGTGTATGACCTATCAAATATGGTGTGACTATAGCCAAATTATCTCTCTATTCCTTTTTCAAGTACTAATAATCCCTTCCTGACCTTTTACTTAACAGTAATCCCACCTGACCTTTCATCATTCACCAGACGTTCCATTCGCTGATGATTCCCTGCCTTCAAGAAAGTCATTTTTGTTCTTCTACCTCAGCAGTTCAAATTCCAGGAAAACAATTCTAAAGTGAAGCTGGATTAAGATTTTTTATTAGCGCTCTATGCATGGTACTAGTTAAGGGCTCCCAATAAACTAAATAAACCCTTTTTTTAAAGTAAACTGTACCAGACTTGCTCCTAGCACACATAAAGAAGCTTCCTTTGCTCTGAATGAGCAGAAATAAATGCTAAACATTACTTTATTACATAAGTGACCGTGGTGTATTTCAGAGACATGTAAAATTTTAACAAAAATAATATTAATAATAATACGTTTTTCAAAAATCTTCAATTTATCTATTTCTCCATTTTAATTTCTCATGCTTAAAACTTGCAGCATGGTTATCACGTCACAGCTTAGAGAATAAATCCCAAACCCTCTACAATGGCCTATGCTAACCGTAGGCAAATGTCGGCACTCCAGATGGTGTGGACTACATCTCCCATAATGCTTTTACAGCAATAATTCTCACAAGACATTAGGGGAGATGTGGTCTACAACATCTGGAGTGCTGAAGGGTGCCTACCCCTGTAATATGCTGTGTTAAAAACAAATCGTATACACTGCTCTGTGCAATTTTACATGTAACTCTCCCTTGAACCTCTTCCGCATACTAATCAGAAACACTGATTACCAACAACTGTGTCAGAGCTATTTAACTTATCTCATCATATACCCTTGCATGGCTTCCACTTTCTGCTTTCGATGCCTGTTGTGACACAGCTTGCCTGACTACTCCTGTTTTCACATAGTTCTGATCTCGGTTTGTGTTATGGATTTTACTGCATGCTGTCTGTACTGGCTTCTGACTATATTCTATGCCAGGGTAGGCAACCTTCGACACTCCAGATTTTGTAGACTGTATCTCCCATAATGCTAGCAAAGCATCAAGGGAGGTGTAGTCCACAATATCTAGACTGCCAAAAGTTGCCTAGCCCCGTTCTATGCCATCACCTGTTTCCATAACTATTTACTAGTTCTGCACTCTGTTCACATTACTGAGCCTCGCCTTGGCCATCCTCAGTGCCATCTGCCTTCTGTACAAGGCTGACCAATAAACAGGGTCAATTGAAGTCTTCTTAGTCAGCTTCAATGAGAAGAATGCACGTATATTTGGACATTGGATTAAGGCTGAAAAGTACTTAATGCAGTGTCCAGGGCCGGATTAACATAGGGGCTGATGGAGCTGCAGCTCCAGGCCCAGGCCCATGGAATAGGCCCATTGATTTTAAAAAAAAAAAGGGTTTTTTTTACATTTTTTTTTTCCACACACTACTCTTAGGGATTCCACCTGGCTTTTATTTTATTGGCACAGCCAGTATTTGAGGCTGCCTGGCTGGTGCCAATATTGCAGTGACAGGCTCAATATACAAATGCTGGTATTTTTCTCAGTATAAAGAGAGATTACTATGCAATACCAGCACTGGCCAGTAGGGGTCGCTGTGTGTGGAGAGAGGCAGGGATAGGAAGTTCCAGCATATCCCTCCCTGCCTATCTATACTCACTGATCTGCAGGGGTGCAGCTACAGAGAGTCCAGACAGCAACTCCCACCCTGCAGAGACAGCCTACAGCTCAGGGAAGTAAGGGATGGGGGAAAGGCTGCAAGGAGACATGGGGACACTGAGACACTAAGGGACACTGGGAGACATTATGGCAGACACTGAGACACTAAGGGACACTGGGAGACATTATGGCAGACACTGAGACACTAAGGGACACTGGGAGACATTATGGCAGACACTGAGACACTAAGGGGCACTGGGAGACATTATAGCAGACACTGAGACACTAAGGGACATTGGGAGACATTATGGCAGACACGAGACACTAAGGGACATTGGGAGACATTATGGCAGACACTGGACACTAAGGGCACTGGGAGACATTGTGGCAGACACTGGGACACTAAGGGACATTGGGAGACATTATGGCAGACACTGGGACACTGGCAGACACTGAGACACTAAGGGACATTGGGAGACATTATGGCAGACACTGAGACACAGACACTGAGACACTAAGGGACACTGGGAAACATTATGGCAGACACTGAGACACTAAGGGACATTGGGAGACATTATGGCAGACACAGAGACACTAAGGGACACTGGGAGACATTATGGCAGACACTGAGACACTAAGGGACATTGGGAGACATTATGGCAGACAATGAGACACTAAGGGACATTGGGAGACATTATGGCAGACACTGAGACACTAAGGGACACTGGGAGACATTATGTCAGACACTGAGACACTAAGGGACATTGGGAGACATCATGGCAGACACTGAGACACTAAGGGACATTGGGAGACACTAATGGACATTGGGAGACATCATGGCAGACACTGAGACACTAAGGGACATTGGGAGACATCATGGCAGACACTGAGACACTAAGGGACATTGGGAGACATTATGGCAGACACTGAGACACTAAGGGACATTGGGAGACATTATGGCAGACACTGAGACACTAAGGGACACTGGGAGACATTATGGCAGATACTGAGACACTAAGGGACACTGGGAGACATTATGGCAGACACCGAGACAC